TTTCTGGTCAAGAACTCTCTAACCACATACAAAGCTGCTGTCAAGCTCACTGGGGTAGCCTAAATTTAACTAAGTAGAAATAGAGCTGCTACCACCAAAGCAAACAAAAATGAACAAACAGAACACCACAAGGAACAAAGCAAAGCCACAGCACTGGGAAGCCAGAAATCAGAAGGCTGAAGGCTTACAAATGAGGATTTCCTAGAGGTTCCCCAACTCAGAGAGTTTAATAAAGATGCCGAATCCTCAGCCTTATCCCCGGGCATTCGATTGGTGCGTCCAACCCCTGTCTAGAAATGTTCTGTTTTAAACAACCGAGGGAGCCCAGCCGGGCGTGGCTCAGCAGTTGAGCAGTGGCCTAGGATCCAGGCGATCGGGGTTCGATTCCCGGTCAGGGCACATGCCCGGGTTGAGGGCTCGATCAATGACCCTCTCATCGTTGATGTTTCTCTCTCTCTCCCTCTCTCCTCTCTCTGAAATCAATAAAGATATATTTTTTAAAAAAAACAAACAACCAAGGTAAATCTGATGCAACAAATGCAATGATCCACATTTAGAGACCTCCAAGGAGACTCGGTTCAAAGGCACAAATGAGTATTAGCAGAAATCAGCGATAACATGAACTTATCTCGTCCTCTAGATTTCCAAACAGAGAAGAGCAAGATGGGAGTGAGGAGAGCAGTATCGTTAAAACAAACTGGGTTTAAAGGAACAGACTAAAACATCTGTAATGCTTACTTGGGGACGTGTCCAGTTAATGAATAACCTAAGTTTACAGAAGCAAAACTTGTTTTTCAAAAATACCTATTGTGTAGAAAGAGTCATCACATTAATACCACATCTTGATTCGCTGATGCCAAGTCATTCATTCAGCAAATATTTATTGAGTGCATCTTTGTTCTGTGTGCTCAGGATAAAGCATGGACAAAACCAACAGGTGGAAACTGAGAGGCCCTCGATGCATGTACTTCAAGTCAATGGTTTACAAACCTTTTAGATGCAGACAAGGCACAAGCAGGTAAGGCTAGAAGACCCTTACTCTATTGTTAGAGGGGGATGGGTTCTTTTTCCTGGGAATGGCAGGGGCACACTGACAGGAGGACTGGAGGTTAGTACGCGTACGTATGTATTATTATAAATTTAATGAGTTCCTTTTTTTTAAAAATGTGTCTTTCGTTGAATTTTTTTTTTTTTTTAGAGAGAGAGGAAGGGTGAGGGAGAGAAACATCCACCGGCTGCCTCCTGCATGCCCCTCACTGGGAACTGGTGAGTCACTAGCAGTTAAACACCTAACGAAGGGGGAAGGACAGGGGTAAGCTAAGGCACGCCAGGGAGGGAAAAGGGGGTAAACACAGTGCATTCTAGACAGGGCTGTATGAAGGACATGGAACCTGAAATCAGGTATCAGAGTCCACAGCCCGAGACCACGCACTGCTGCACTAAGTTTCAGCATCAGCGTGCTGTCACAGTTACCTACCTACCTTTACATTTTAGCCAGGGAAGCAAATCACTTACCTAAGTTTTCTCCCTGCAACTTTGACAGGATAAACAAAATGTTCAATGCATCTCTAAGGGGCCAGGTATACAGTAATGCTAAGCGACCACTTAAATTCTACAAATCTCTTTATATAAACTTCAATGACTTTGCTTTTTCCTACTGCTCTGTCGTCAGTGTCTGGAAAAAGTGTTCAATAAGTATTGGGTGGATGGGAAAACAAGTCTACGGAGATACAGAAGCCAAAGGAAGCAGGCAAAGCCTCTTCTGGCTGATCTCCCCTCCTGATGGGCTCCCAGTCTCAGGGGCCAGTGACAGGAATGCCCAAGGCTGAGGCACACACTCAGAGAACATGGGGAACTCACTGTTGCTATCAAAGAGAAAACAGGCTAGAAGCCAGGGCAAGACCAAAGGATTGTGTCTAAGACAAAGGCAGAAAAGAATGAGCTACATCAACAACTATAAGCAAGTCTGACCGGTTACTAAGAACCTAGAGATGACCAAAATGTAAGCATTTCTAAACAGGGGTGAAGTAGTTTTTACGGGGTCCCTGTGGCCTGTCCAGACTCACCTGGTAGAACAGTTAATGGTGCCAAGACATCACAGAACATCACCTTTAATTATGGAGAGACTTTAAAAAGGTAACATCTCGAGGCTGGGAGGTAAGGCATGTTTGTCCTTGTACATCCCTGGGCCCTAAGACACCCGAGAAAGATAAGACAAGGAGGAGCCAACAAAGGCCACTGTGGAGGAGGGGCTAGCACAGGGAATGGTGTCCCCGAGCTAAGTAAACAGTGTTTCAAAATGGAGAACGTGAGCAACTGTGTCAAATGTCACTGACATCTGCGTAAGCGGTGACCCTGGCTGGGGCACTGCATGCCAGAAGCCAGTGCGGGCAAGAATGGCAGGAAAGACAGCAAGTGGCGTGATGCTTCTTAGGAGCTTCGCTATTGAGGAGCAGCAGCAAAAAGGTCCTGGGAGAGAAATGTGGGATTAAGAACAAGTATTTGCTCCAGTTCCTTTTTGTTTTAAAGATGAGGGCCACCGCCGCACGTTGTATGCTGATGGGAATGGTCCCGCAGAGAAATGGAGGGATGGCTGGGGCGGGGCCCACGAGCTGGGGAAGGCAAGGGGACCCAGGGCTGCGGGAGGCGCCGCCATGCCGAGGTGGAGAGTTTGTGCCCGCGCGGGGAAGGGAAGAGCGGACGGGGTGCATGTGCACTGAGGTCAGTTCACGCGGAGGTGGGAACACGGGAATTCCTCGGTGAAACAGAGAAACATCACTCATCACACGCTGAGAGCAAGGAAGGGGAAGAAAGTGTGGCGAGTCTAAGCATGAAGGCGTCAGTCACAGCCACCCAAAGCAGCGCGGACGAACGCGGGGCACTGCGAGGCCGCCGGTGGGCACTGAGGGCAGCGGCAGGACGCGGGGCGAGCGCAGCCGACTGCCTGCGTGAGGGCGAAGGGGCCTAGGACAGAGAGGGCGGGAAGCCCGCGACGCAACAGCACGCCCCTCTGCGCCCACCCTTCAGGGAATGGCACCTACAGGAATGCGCGGAAAATGAAGCAGTCACATCTCAGCCACTTGCTTTTCTCCCCTGAAGATACAGTATACACATGAGAGCGTTCGGCACATACATAACTTATGCATATGGTTTAAAGCACAGAAATAACAGAAAATTTCCAAGCTAACTGCAGATTTTTAAGGTGGTGGAAATATGAAATTTATCATTCCCTATATTGTTTCTCACCACCTTTTTATTTTACTCTGAGAATCCATTACTTTTATAAAAAGAAAAAAACTTAAGATGGAAAATCTGTAAGCCTACGGTATAAGACAGGGCCAAAGGGCCACAGTAGGCCAAACATCTGCAGGCAGATGGAAACGCACACCAAATACTGGCAATCTTCAATATACAGATGACTTAAAAATAACTCACACGGACCACTTGCCCCAACTAATCCTGGCAGGGCCTGCTCAGTTCTGGTTACACATGCTCCCCTGCTGTCCCTCACCTGTCACCATCTACCCCCCAGAAGACCTTCACCTCACCCCAGGCCTATACCTGTCCTGGAGCTACCAACATGAAACGTTTTGTGGAAAACCTATTTCTGCAATATGGGCAGAAAGACGCTACGGTGAGACAGAGAACAGAACCTCCTGCTCACCACAGAGCTACTTTGGCGTTATCTCCCACACCCTGGCATATAAAAGTCTTCCTAGAAGCAGAAAAGGCCGAGAAGGGCAGCAGACAGGTTCCACTGGGTAACATTCAATAAATATAATTAGATTTAGCAACCCTGAAGGAAATGGCCCAAAGAAATAAAAAATAAATTAAAAAATAGATGGACTGTTGACTCTAGGTTTAAGATGTGAGTAATGCAATATTCTAAATTACTCTCAAACAGTTTATACTGGTTTGAAATGAAGATCAAATTTTTTACCTTAACTTTATAAATAATTCAGATTTGAAAGAGACCTAGCAGTAAAATTTATTCTACATCAAGTACCATCAGTAAACATTTCTAAATTTTAGCATTAGAACAATATTCTCGTAACTCCATGATTTAAATTTGGTATACCTTCAACAAAATTTTACAAAGAGAGTACACAAATCAAAGATTATGTTTTTTTAATAATTAACTACAAAATGGAAGGCTGTCCTTGGTGCTATGGAGCAACTTTTCCTGATGTCTGTACGTCTTACACAAAATCTTAAGGATCTATTAACATAAGGTTATACAAAAACAAAAGAAAACTTAAATACCAGCAAAGTCAGGAAACAATTTAAACAATTCTATTCCAGATGTGGGGTAGAGAATAAAGACCTTAAAGAAATAAAGACACAAAAAGAAACCCCCAAATAATGTACAGCCTGCATTTACACCTGACCTTGTTTCCCTCACCCACAAAAAGATGAGGGAATGATATCTACCCAAAAGTTTTTAAATTAAATGTGAAATAGGAGGGTAAAGAAACAAGTGAGTATAAACCAGCTTGCAACTAAATACTAAAAATATTCTTCTCTTGCTGGTTACTGGTGTTAGAGCTAGCCAACGTGAAAAATTAACAGGAAATTCAGTCATTAATGGGACTTAGGAAAAAAAATCAAATCCTGTAATTTAAATCAAATCCATTTTCTAAATGAAGCTAATTTAGCACTAATACTGAATAAATTAGGCCTTTAGGGGTAACTTTAAGATTGTCTAACTGAATTAAAGTTTTGGATGTTACCCAAGAAATCATAACATGTGAACTGAGCTGGTACAAATACTTGCAAGCTTATACAGTCCACTAAAGTTTTGTGAAAAAAATGTGAAAATTTAATTTCCCCAAATCTACTTCCTTTTTATTTCTTAGCTATTGTGACTTCTGTAAACAGTGTGCTGCCTGTGTCAAACTCAGCACAGTTTTTTGATCATGGCACTTTCAATTGTTTCATTAAATACATCCATTCACTTACATGTAAACAACTGGTTTCCCAAGTGTGAAATTCCTTCTCACCTGTCTTTGATGATCCAGATCCGCTTTGTTACCGATTAAAATCATTGGAAACTCATCACGATCCTTTACTCTGAGAATCTGTCTTTGAAACTTATAGATTTCTTCAAAACTAAAAACACAAAAACAAATTAATCAACTTGGCCCAAATAGCAGCACGTCCTATGCCCAATTTAGTACACTTTTTCTTTTTATCTATAAAAATGAAAAAAATCCAAATTTAATAAAACAGTGGGCTAGACTGAAGAATAGATCTCCATTTTGATATTGGTACAAACCTGCCTCTATCTGTGACTGAAAAGACCAATAGGAAACCCTCGCCGGTTCTCATGTACTGTTCTCTCATAGCTCCAAACTCTTCTTGTCCCGCTGTATCTAGAACTAAAGAAAAACCAACATATGTAACTGTGTTTGCGTCTACATTTTACAAACGGCATCCCCACAAAGGCAGGCCCAGAGCATGTCATACTTAGCGTGATAAAGAAATGGCGTTCTTCCCCTCTTAGTACTTTATTCTCAATACTAAAGACAAATATATTCTAATGGCAGCCAGTTTCAGAGTTATCTTCATCAGCACAGGTTGATTTTGTAGTGAGAATATATTAGCATACCGATTACAAGGTTAAAAATATCAAGTACATCTAAGCAGATGGAGTCAGATAACCTCTGAAATCATTTGAATGCTTATCTCCTCCACAGATAGAACTAAAAAAGATACTTAGATACTTATAAATTTTAAAAAAAACTTTGCTCTACCCCTCAAACACCATACTTAAGGTGCAGGTGCTAATGTGTGTCTTCATCTCTGTGAATGAAAGAACTTATACAAATCAAAAGAACAGGCCTTTCTTTTGTGGAGAGGTGAAATGTTTGCCAAGGAAAAAACACCATTTGCTAAGGACTCTGCACTATAAATTCTAAGCAAGTTAACAAATATTGAAGCTCTTCTTTACTTACTTCACCCATTTTACGCTTCGTCAAAAGGTAGTGACAAGAAAAAAACCCTTAGATGTTCTAAATTAAAATTACAGCAGCCAGAGAGTGTGAGAGACACAGAACAGGTAGCCTGCTAATAGCTGTGAACCAGGACTGACAAAAAACCACTCGCAATCCTGTGTATCTGTTGGGATTTAGGAGTAATTTCCAGGTGGCTCTTTCCGTGATTATCCAAAAGAGAGAAGAGCCGGGTGCCACAGAACCCCAGGAGCCCCCACTTCTTATTTACACACGAACTTTCGAATGTGCTGCCCACTGCTAATCCACAGGAGCTTGACACCTCTTCCCGGGGACTCTCTGGGCCTACCCCAGAACAAGCCCTCTTCACTTTCTCCCATCCCCTTTGTCTCTAGATAATGGGAATCCTTTTCAGAACGGCTTACATCTTTCTCCCCAGCACTTACTGCTTGCAAAGCACGGGGGTGACATGCTGTCTTTCCTGCCCAGCCATACTGTTACTGGCTTAGACTCCACGCCCCAAGACTGGTACTTTTTTTCTAGCAATGGCCTAATAAACTCTTTCTTTTAAAAAGATTTTTAGCCATGGAAGTTAAATTTTTTGTTTAACAGTAGGAAGAGCTGAAACCTCACTTTTTTCCAAATGTCCCAATAAATACAACTTCAAGTTACAATGTTACACTATTAGTTTCACCAGAACAAGATCAATTCAGGTACTGTTTAACCTTACATTTACTGAGGAATATTTAAATTCCCCAATATGCAGATTTATCAATCAAAACTAAAGAAAGAGATGGGTTTATATGCCAGATCATCTAATATTTCAATTATATTTAACCTAGAAAAACATCAGAGCTTAGTTTCTATAAATAGGATATGTGAACTATCAAATAAAGAAAGATTACTTACTATCTAGCCGAGCTGCTCGGTCATCTATCACACACTGCTTTGTGTAGGAATCCTCGATGGTTGGATCATAATCCGTCACAAAATAGGACTGTAAGAAAAAGTGCCTTATTTTAAAATTCATGTCTGCCTATACAAGTACCAATGTAACTTTATCAAACCCCACATATCTGGAATTTATCAAAATATTTTCATTGTATTTAGGCTTATCTCTACTATGTCAATTCCCCACTAAACGAAGTACATTTAGAGCAGCTTCCAAGTGGAGAAAAGAAAATAAGTATCTCTGAATTTTCATATCTGAAATATGCAAGACAACCGTAAAAGATCTGCAGGGTTTTGTGTTTTGTTTTTTTTTCATAATTAACACATATATAGGAATATATATATCTAAGAATCTAGATCTCAAGAAAAACTAGAAAAACACAGTAAATTATAATTCAGGTCTGTTTGCAACCTGAAAGCATCAGTCTACGGAACAAAGTAGTTTGAAACCAATGGAAACAACAGAGAGGCCTGGAAGATTCCCTTTCCGGGCTTTTCTCACACCTTGTCGCTTTCACCTGCCTTGTATATTATCATAAGGAACATGACTTCAGGACTCTCTCAATTACAGGGATCTCAAACTTATTCTTTCACTGACATTCTTGTTGTTTTATTTTAATTTCGATTTCCCTCTCCCGTTAGCAAAGCCTTCCAAACATTATCCTCTCAAATCATCACCAGCAGAAAGGACAGTTCAGGTGGCAGAGTCAGAAGGGAAGCATCTTACTTAGAGAACCACTTAAATGCTTGTGTATTACATTTCACAATTTTTTAAAAAAATGGTTTTAAGAAGGAAACAACAGCAACAAGAATCTGAGCGAGACTTAGCTCCCCATTCTTACAGAAGGGCACTAACTAGGACACTGACATCACCCTGCTTTTGTTCTGCACGTCTCCTCTCCCCTCAAAGCCTAGTTTCCCACTGGCTCATTACAAAGTCTGAGGGAATGGCCTGGAGGAAGGCAGCCTGACGCTGAGACCCACCACCAGAGGTGCTCAGCCATTCTTCAGGCAAGGGCCCCTGGCAGCTGGACCTGCTTGGCTGCAGGGGCAGGGAGTCTTAAGTGACAGCCCTGGGAATGGGGACCTATCCGAACTCCAAAAAGCTACTCAGAAACAGGCACTCTGCACAGGACAGTAAAAAAATCCCTGGTTTGTGGAGGGCAGGGTGGGAAGGGAGAGAATACTGATCTGCCTGCTACCATGAATTTACATATTTATTTTATTTTTGAAGGACACTTTCCACATTTATATTTTAGGATTAACTTTAATCACAGAATTCAGCATCCATAATCCTATTTCCCTTTTGATGGTTTCACTTAAATGCATGACTAAACAAAGTCTGTAAAAGAAACATTTACCAACAGGAGCAGTGAGGAGGAGAAAGCCATTTCCATCACCACCCCATTTCCCACTTAAAAATAAACATATCAAAACAATCCTGAACTCACTTATTGGCACCCGCACCTCTTCAAAAAGTGAACACAACTGGCAACAATATCCTTTGTACCCACTACTCTAAACAACTTAAAACTACAGTCTTTCACCAAGCAAGTTGTATAAAGCACGCTGTTTATATCTTTTTAAGATTAGTTTCCTGAAACACGTTTTTCCACAGCAGCCTGATGCCTCTTGCCCTGCTTTCATCTCATAAAACCTGAATTTCATTGAGTATTCCCAGCTTATGCCTAAATGTGCTAAATAAAGTGGCCCATCGTCCCTCCCGCTTTGTCTGAAAACATAGTGGACAAACATTAAATACATTTTTCAAATGTCCAGGTCATGCATAACAGCTAGGATTCTTTCAATGGGATGGGTTCTTTTCGCATTGTGAGACCAAATTAAAACATTAACACCTCTACAAGACTCACAGTTTAAGCAACTTTGAGAGCCATTAAAATAAATTTAGTGGCTGTGGAAGTTTCGTGTTTTCTTTGGCTGTCTTAGTTCTTGAAACACAATCTTAATGTAAAAAGTTTGCCACTTTGCTGACTAACACTGGCAAGCACTTATTCCACTCACATTAACTTTTAAGACAAATTAATTGTTGGAATTTCTGGATATTTAGGTCCACATTTCATCTTCATTGTGTCCTGTTCTCAAAATTTGCCTGCAGAGTCCAGCATCTTCTTACTATATATATGCAGATTTTAAAGAGTCATCCTTACTGAAAAGCATCTTCCTGCCTCAGGAACACTGATTGAAAGAACAAAGATCTCAAGGTCTGGGCAAGACAGAGCTTTGGAGAGAAATCCCGTTTCCTTTACTTGCTGCAAGTAAACAAAGCTGCCTTGTGACAACTACATCTTGTTCTCGAACAGAACACTCCAAGGCAAGCCTCCTGAGTTCAGTGGCAGCATCACTCTGGGTCTGGCCGTCACAGAATCAAAGGCTCCCTTTCCCTCTCATAATTCTAATAAGCCACAGGTCAGAATACGCCTAAAACGAGCATTCATCATGTGCAGGTAACAAAGACTGTCACATCCTACCACAAAGACTTAACATTTTTGTTACTTAAACTTGAGTACCAGACATTTGCTCACTAACAAGAAATCAGGCTCTGGTGAGGGACAGTCCTGGATTGAATTCTAACTCTACTTGCTACCTGTGGAACCTGAGGCAATGACTTCACCTTTCTAACCTTTAGCATCTGTAAAAGTGGAGAGTAACAAAACCTGGTGGAACAGGTAAAATGAGATAATGCATAAAAAGTGCCAAGCCATGCTGATGATTCATAAATGTTAACCATAATAATCATTGTATTATTGCTGTCACATGCTTAGATGGTATGAACTAGTATTTTTATTCAAGTATAAAGACTTGCTAATCCCAGGAACAGCTGCAATCATCCCAATCCTAGTTGTACCACAGACCAACCATGGGACTTGGTATCCAAAATGTTGGCAATCAAAATATAAGCTACCTCACCCCATCTGGGGTTCTGGAAATATTTTCTGGATCTAAGCTGTAACTAACTGTACAGGTACACACATATGTAAAAATTCATCAAGTTGTATGTGCATTTTCTTGCGTAAATTATACCTAAATTATATAAATTAACAAACGGTTGGATTAAGTGGTTGCTTCATTGCTCACAGGATTCAGTCCTTTGTTTACACCGTATGCAAGCAAAGCCTTCGAGTTTGATCTGTGCTGCTCACCACTCGTAGGCTTATTCTTCACTCCTTTAAATCCGTCAGCCGACTGCTCTTGCTCTCTTGGTTTCATTCATTTGCTCAACAATTATTTATGGAGCATCACAGGGACAAAGTCCCTACTTTCAGAGCCCACTGTTTTTTTGCACATCAGTAACTGTGCTGTGGTGGGAGAATGAGGAGTGTTAAATGTACTGGCCAAAGAACAGCATGAAATGCCAATACCACGCTTGTTCAGAAGGCGACAAAATGTAAGGGGTTAATACTGCAGTGCCTCAATGCATAGGGACCATGTGCACATCCGCCTACAAACACAGAGCCCCAGCAATATGCCAGAAAAGAAAACAGACTCTCTACTGAAGCTGAAAACTGTTACCCACCACAGTCCAGGAAGGATATTCTGTAGCAGAGAGCAAGAAAAACACAAGCAGGTATTGCACTGCGGAAGACTGCAGAGGTTCAGCCAAGGGCAGGAAAGGAGAATGGACTGCAGTTCAGAAGAACACACTGGATGGGGGAGAGGCGGG